AGTCTACATGATATGATCTGTGGAGACAAAACTAATGATTGATGATTGTATTGATATGTCATAATATGTCCATATAAATTGATTATTTTTAGTAAGTAAATGAATGTGATTTAATTGATATGATTACTTGTTATTTCTATCTAACTAGTTTGTTTTCAATATGCAAACGATAAGAGTTGACTTGTAAGAAATAATATTGAAATTGTTTTTCATACTTAAACAATTGAAATATTCAATAGTAAAGCAATATTTACATTATATAATTTATATAGTGTACTAGTAAGTCTTATACCTAGCGATAGTTTTTCTTCTATACTATCGCAAGAAGAAGGAAAGGAGTAAGTAGGAGATTGAGCTTGTAGAGTGCTAAGTCCTTTTTGCAGCATTTGAAAGGTGAGCTACTGAATTAGCTATTACCTTATAAAAAAACTTTATTGAAATTTTTGTATGATGTATAAAACAGAGACTAGTATATATATATATATATATATTGAGCAGACTAATGCGACTGAAAGTTATATAAGTTTACAATTCAGACTAATGCGACTGAAAGTTATATAAGTTTACAATTGTTGATATACATTATAAAGCACATGAATGGTTAATTACCTTTTAAACTAATTTGTTGTTTTAATACGACTCTAAAGGGCCAATCTAGTATGTGATCCTCTTTCTAATGAGCTTATGGGTAATGGTTTCACCAATATATTAGAATATGTAAATGTGTTATATATATATAATGGACTTTTCATTAAGACATTTTAAATGATGGAACTTTTATATCTTATGTATAAAGGGAATTTATTTAGTTTAGGATTTTATCAAGTATGAGTTTAATGATATTTAAAATGTTAAAATAACTTTAAAAATATTATTATCACAATATATGTATTTTGAATATTAAAGTTAAGTGCCTTAAAGTATGTTTGTACTAAGTTCTTATGTAAAATAAGTGCTTAATGAGCATATCACGGGCGACATGCTACTTCTAACTGTGATAGAGCACCTCAGAAGGGAGATCGAGCACCTCGTGTAAAGAGGTGAACTAGAGGAGTTTGCGAAGGATAAGAAACTCACCACAAAACATCCCGAACCTTCATGAAAGAAAGATAAACAGGTATCCTCTTTGGATAATACTCATGGAACTATTCACACTATCTTTGGTGGTTCAACAGAAGGAGACAACACCTCCACTAGAAAGAGGCAAGCTTGCAAGATATACTCAGTCATGCCTCGCCCCGAGCAAATGGACCGTGAACCTATCATATTCTCTGAAGAAGATGAAACCCATGTGCACACTCCTCATAACGATGCACTTGCTATTGAAGGGATCATGGAGAACTTCTTGGCGACATGCATATTAATTGATGATTGGAGTGCAGTTAACCTAATAACACTAGAAGTATTCAAATCTTTGAAGCTCGAAGAGGCAAAGTTAAGACCAGTCTAAACACCTTTGTTTGACTTGTCCAGAAAACCAATCACAGTCGAAGGAGCAGTTGATATCACTTTGAAGCTAGGAAGCGAAGGCCCCATAAAGTGATTCAAATTAGTTCATGGTGGCGAACATACCTTTCCCTTACAACGAATCATGGGGAAGCCCGATCTCTACGACCTTTGGGCCATTACTTCTATCAGGTACCTTACTGTTAATTTTTATTTTGACAATAATGAAGTAATCTCTGTCAAGGGAAATCAGAAGGCAGCCTGGGAAGCTTACATGGTCACCTCAAAGGGGTACCTCTGGCTCTCCCTATCATGTGGATTCGTGCAGAAGAGCTCAACAATGTCTGGCTCTCCCTATCATGTGGATTCCGTGCAAGAAGAGCTCAAACAATGAATAAGAAAACAACCCCCCTTTTTGACATTCCAGGAGAAAGAAGTCTGGATGGAACTCCAAAACTAATGGGAACTCACAAATGGAAATAGAGTTTTCGGTGAAGTGCATAATGATGGAAGGCGAGCTTGACGAGGATGTCCAAAGTCAACTCAAAGAAGTACTAAAGAGAAACTCAGATAGCTTCACATGGACGTCCCAAGACATTGTAGGAATCAACCCCGACACCATTTCAATTAAACTCAGCATAGATCCAAACTACAAACCAGTCAAACAAAAAAAGGAGAACTCATGGTCCCAAAAGGCTACAAATAATAGCAGCTGAAGTAGAGAAACTCCTGCAAGTAGGCTTCATAAGGGAAGTACAATACCCATATTGGCTAGCGAACGTCGTCCTGGTGTCAAAAACAAATGGGAAATGGAGACTATGTGGACTTCACAAACTTAAACAAAACATATGCCAAAGATCCATACCCATTGCTAAACATTAACCAGCTAGTTGACTATACTGTAGGGTATGAGGTATACAGTTTTGTTGATGCAACTGCAGAATACCACAAAATCAAGATGAACAAACTAGATGAGGAGAAAATGAGCTTCACAACTGATAGAGGTATTTTTTGTTGTCAAGTAATGCCTTTTGGTTTAAAAAATACTGGTGCCACATATCAGAGGCTCATGAACAACATGTTCAAACATGCTTTTTGTTGATATCTACTTTTTTTTTTTATTTGTACATAGTATTAGAGTTTTAATTAATTTTAATATATCATAGGCAAATATTATAAACAACCTTATTCGATTTATGATATTTTCCTTATTCGATTTATGATATTTTGCTGAATCATTATTATTAACAACGTTATTTTTTTCAGTATTAAGCAATAACAATCAGTAGTATTGGTAGTTAGGTGTAAGAAAGGTTTGGTTTGATGTAGTTTGAAAAAATTTTTTAATTAAACCAAAAATTACGGTTTATAGAATTTTTCAATCCAAACCAAACCATTTAATCAACAAAATCAAAGTAGTTTGATCTGCGATTTGGTACCATTAAAATATATGTTGTCGTTTTCTATTTCATCTTCGTTCTCTATTTCGTCTTTGTTCCTTCTCTAATTTGCCTAGCTTTTGCAATTCCAAAAGGAGAGAGGTAAACTTCAATCCAAGACCAAGACACTTAAAATGCAATTCCAAAAGGAGAGAGGTAAACTTCAATCCAAGACCAAGACACTTAAAATGAAGTAAATTGAATCATCTTCTTGACCGTTAAAGACCCATTTATCAATTTCTGTTGGTGTCATGGTATGTTGTTTTTTGTTTTTAATTTAGTTTTTAATTCACGGTGAATATAAATTATTATCCACTTTACAATTATTATGAAAATTATGATCTTTTATGGTTTGTAATACGAATTTTGATTTTGAAATATGATTTTTGGTTTTGCTAAGAATTTTTTTCCTAGTTCATGGCGACTAGGGGGCCTATCATAAAATTTTTTTATGTGGACTTCTAGTTTTGTGTTGGAATTTCTTATTTAAATTCATACTTGATTAAAACCGTATTGCTGCTTGTGCTTGTGCTATTACATTCTAAACAATAACCCCATGATAGAGTTTTGTGTGAATAGAGTTTTTGTGTGAACAGAGTTTTGATGTGAATAGAGTTTTGAAGAGTTGATGAAGAGAAAAAAAGATCCACAATAATATTTTTTTTATTAACATGTTTGGCAGGTGACAAGTTACTGCTCATATTGTAATCTAATGTTCCTTATTAAAGAATTGAAATCTGAAGGTACAAAATAATTTATGTATTGATACAGAATTTCTTATTCCTATACAGTAGTCTTACCCCTCTTTTGAATTCTATTGCTCATTTATCATTTATTCTCTCTCAAATCAGATAATCATCTCATTTATCGTTTATTCCCTCTCAAATCAAATAATCCTCTCCTTTATCTTTTATTCTCTCTCAAATCTAATAATATGAGATTATCTTTTTTTTTTAAAAAAAATCCATTAATAAAATCTTTTATCTTTTGTTCGTATTTGTGTTTTTTTTTTCTTCCATTTATATATTTTCCATTCATATTGGTTTTTCCACCTATATATATATATATATATTGAATAGCTTATTTTGTTTGACTTGCAAGTAAAGATAATAAAAAATAAAGGATCATTATTTAAACCTACATGTTGTAGCTCAGTTGGCAACACACAGTCTGGGCATGTGAAGAGTTTTTGAGTTTAATTCCCACTAAACTAATCTGTAGGAAGGGATAAAGAGCTTTGACTATAACTAAGCCCCGAGTCAACACAGGTTGGGTATGTGAAGAGTTTTTGAATTTAATCTCCACTAAATTTACCTGCAGAAATGGGTAAAGAGCTTTGATTATGACTAAGCCCTGAGTCGGATTAGATAGTCTTTAGAAATAGAGTCCGGATACTAATAATTTATACAAAATAAAAAAGGATCATTATTTAAATCTTCCAATGCGTGACGAGATCTGCCCTCATTCTCATTAAGTCGGTTCTACTTCTGTATCCATCTTCTTTATATATATACTGTATCCATCTTCTTTATATATATATAATATATATAATAAAGCCAGATGAATTTATGCTTGCTTTGCAATTTTTTTTTTTTTTTTTTTTTTTGCGGGCTTAACAATGTATTGCTATAGAGTTTCTTGGGTTTTTGTTTATTTATTGAAATGTTAGACTTTTTGATATTGCAGATTATAACTTCAACCTATGGTAATGACATGAATTATCCACACCACAAAGATGCATATACTGCTTCTTTGAATAATTATTTAATTTTTTTGCAAAAAACTATCTATCTATAATAATATATATAATAATATATATATAATATATATATATATATATATATATAATCCTGAAAAAAAAATATTTATGAAAGGCTGAGTTGGCATCCTATTCTATCAGCATTTCCTTTTTTTCTTTTTTTACTGATTTTCTATATTTTTAATTTATTTGTTTCATTTTTATTAAATTTTTATTATAGATTTTATTTTTAAGTATAGTTTGCATTTTTTTTTTTTAATTTCTCTCTTATATATATCTGTATCCAGTATTTTCTCTCTCACCGTCTATAAATTATTCTTATTCAAAAATCAATCTCCCTACCATATCTATTATGATTTATCACTTATCATATCATATTATATAATATATCTCATGAATAACAAAGTAGACTTTCATTCACGTATTTCACTAAAAGAACATTACCCTAAAAAGCCTAAAGGTTTTGGTATGGTGCGTATAAATTCATTCCTTCATCACCAAAGAGAGACGGAGACCAAACCTGCTTCATCACCAAAGAGAGACAGAGACCACACCTGCTGGCTGCCCGTATTTCACCCTTGCCAGAAATCAAAATTTGATTTTTTAAAAATTTTCTTCTTCTCTACAAGAAGCCAGTATGTATGTGTTTGATGCAAAATTTTTAAGTTTCCAATGAAGGCTTTTGCTCTCTGATAAGGTATAATCCACTTTTGGTATAATCTATTTGTAACTGTTATTTTTAGTGTTCAAATGTGATTGATTTGAAAATTTGTCCTTTTATGATGTGATATTCTTATTCTTGACTTTGTAAGTTTTGTAGTGAGCTTATAAAAATTTATCAACGGACAACTTGGTATGGTAACCTGTTTGTAAGTCTCATGTGAATTTATATATAGCTATATATGCCTTTGATTATCTTTAATTGCCATTGGCAAGCTGGGTATATATGTGCACTAGAATTTTTTTTGATGGTTCTATCTCCATGAAATCTTTATCTGTATTTCCCAGAGGATGACCATGAGTTACTTAAATTGAAAACAATATCCCTATTTTGAACAACACATTATGTCCTAATGTGTCAAATTTATAAATGCAGTACTTATTTTGCTTGCATCATGTTTTTTTTGCAGTATATGAAAAGAAACCATCCCTGAAAGTCTGTCAAGGCATGCAACAAAAGTTGCTTGGATCTCATGCAATTGTTTTTTGAACTGAAAAGTTAGTACTTTTATAGTGGCAGTTGTGATTCTTGTGAAATAAGAAGAATGTAACCATTACAACTAGTTGCATTGCGGCCACTTATCCATTGCATTTGTAACTGAAATGTCCATTTTGGCATTTACAACTCAAATATTTGGAACTATTCTGCAGTTTTGAATTTTGAACTATAAAATTTGAATTTTTTGATATCTTTGTGGTGATTTGAATTTGAATTCCAATAAATTCTATAAAATTGCGCGAGTTGGAGTAATAGTTATTATTGTTAAATAGCAAATTATATTGGTGATTGCAAATACTCATTCTATAATTTGAGATTCTTTTTGTGAAGATTTGATAGTTGTTGCATTTTCGAAATTTCTAGATGTTTCCAATTAATCCCATTTTTTTCTTGATAATCTCAGTTTCTTCAAGGAATAAACCAACATTCGGATACACAGTAATTTGTCTGTTTGACGCATTATCAATGAGTCAGGTCCAACTTCGAGACCTTTTATTGCTTCCCTCTTTAGGTCAATATAGCTTGTAAAGGATTGGGTTATTAAATCATTCATCTTTACTTATTAAATTTGAGACAGATCGTAAAAAAAATAAAAATGCAATATAATTTATGGTCACATAAAAGAAAGAGTAAAGCACAAACGGTATTCCACTAAAAGAGAATGCACATAACTCTAGCAAAATATGGATAAAAAAACGTGGATGATGCTGTTATTGACAGAGAAAAGACTAATATTATTAGTAAAAAATAATTAGATAAATTACGTAAAGAGAAATAGAGAGAAGATAATTACCAAAGGATGATGATAATTAGATAAATTACGTAAAGAGAAATAGAGAGAAGATAATTACCAAAGGATGATGATTGAATGACAATAGCATAGCAAGAGGTATGATAGGAGACCACAAACAAAGATACTTGAAAGAGAGAGTTGAGCAATATATAGAGAGAAAAAGAAAGATCGGATAGATTTATGATCTTTTAAATTTAAAACTCAACTAGATGAAGAGCTTTGCGCATGTTACTTTGTCAGTTTATAATTTATAAACAATTTATTTTTAGTATATGAATCATATTTAGTATATATTATAAGATTCATCTTCCACGCGGGTTGCTTTATTAAATTTTCGTATTATATAGAAATTATAATGCCGTTAATTTATAATTTATTTTAAAATAATTATAATTTCATTAGTCTAGCAAAGTTTTGTTGGGAGTTTAATAATTCAAATACTATTTTACTCCTAGATAATTCTATATATAATAAAAATATAAAGTTCTATATGTTCAAATAATTCAATGTGGATAATATACAAAAAATAATAGATAGATAAGAAAAAACAAATTTAAATAATTTAATGTGGATATTCTATGTTAAATTAAAAATATTAAAAGTGTAAATAAAGAATACAAAATCCTGAAAGATAAAATTACGGATAAATACAAATAATACATAAACAAAATTCACTATTCACTAAATCAAGGAGGATAAAAAATTAGTTAAACTAAATATAAACTTACAATTAATTTTTATTTATTGTTCATACATCAATCCCTTAGTGCATAACCTTGCCATATTTTGAAGCATTTTTCCTCAAATTGCAATTGGAATAGTTAAAAAAATCTGAGATTTCTTGTTGAGGCTGTCATAGTAAAAGCTATGGATGGAGAATAACCACCATTTTGTATCCCAATAACCCGATCCTAATAAAAATATTGTAGAAACCATTCAATAAACAGAATGTGTTAGAGTAATTGTGATAGATCAGTAGAAGAAGAAATAAAAAATAATTAAAAATAATGAAAAATTGATTTAAGAGAATGAATATCTTTATAGTCTATATAAAATTAAAAAAAAATGAACAATAAAGAACAATAAAATACGAAAAAAAATTATAAAAGAGCAATACAAAAATGATACCTGATCATATCTAAGCTTCATGTTTTTTTGGTTTTTTTCCAACCATTCTTCATTTAGCAATGATATAAATGAAAAATCAAATAAAAAAAAAATAAATGAACCAATAAAAATAGAAAGAATGAATATAAATGAAGAAATGGAAGAGAAGGAAAAGAATAATACAGTAAAAAAAAAAAAAAGAGAAACTGTATGAAAGAGAAAATGTTACCTTTTATGAAGAAAAAATTGTTATGTAGTTCATAATCTTAAAAACAAAAATAGCAAAATTTAATATGAATATAAAGAAATATAAATATATCAAGATAAAGAGATAAACAAAGAAACTAAAAAATAAAATAAAAAACAATCATTGAATCAAATTGATTGGTTTGAGGTTTGAAAGATAGAGAATAGTAGAGTTATATAAATAGTTTGCTACAACTTATAAATTTGTAAAAAATAAAAATATTTTTAGATTTTTAGATGAGATTATGAGATTAGTCAAAGAGATTGTTACATAGATTTAGAATTTGATTTTTTTTCAAATAAATTATTAGTGATAATAATATAACTTTTATTATTTTTAATTGACAAATAATTATAGTTTTTTTTGTTAAAAATGAATTAAAAATCTAGAAAATTTGTAAAAAAAAAAAAAAGAAAAAGAGGAATTCTGAAACCAGTGGATGCCAAGTCAGCATTTAGAAAAAATTTTATGCTTCAAGATTATATACATATATAGATAATAATTTTTTATTTTCTTTTTTCGTCACTAAACAATTTATAACTACTATTATTTTAATCTAGTAAGAGATTTATATCTCCCTTGCAATAAATAGATGACCTATTGATAATTAAGCATTTTTAATTTTTTTGATATTTTTGTCTTCTATCCTAAATCCATTTGACTTAAAAGAAAATAATGTTTAGGAAACTAGAAAAAAAAACTAGAACTATATATTTCTGCTCGGGTCACTTTTTGGGATTTCAAGAAATTTTGTCTATGTGCATATATTTCTTTTCCTAATACACTGGATAAGTAATACTGCGACTTTAGCCAAAGTGATTTTCATTATCAATTCAAATCATCTATTCATTTTTTTTTTCTTTTACCTAGCAGTAAAAAATAAGTTGTTATTATTATTTTTCCTTATAGTTCCTTATAGTTGTATATAAATATTAATTTGGGGTTAAAAGCGAGGGATTGAAAATTGAATGATGGCTTGATTTAGGAACTAAAGAATTAGGTCTAGGTATGAGGTTAAACTTCATTCTAAGACCATTTTATTATATAAAAATAGAATTAAGTACATAAGAAGTAGCATTGCAAGTAATTTGTATGATAAAGTGGAATACAAATTAATCACTGTATTTATTTTAATCTAAACAAACTTATGCTTTAATATTATATAGATAAAAAAATAAATATATAATAAGCATAGTCAACGTGCAACGCATGTCGTACAAAAGACTAATTAAAGTTAAAAAAAACACTTATTTTTATTTGAATGGAGGATTTTCCAACCTCACCTATGCTCCATGAATTTTATATCAAATCATCAAACTTTCTATATGGCTTCCTAAAAGAATAATAATTATAAAAAAAATTAGGTGAAGGCCTGCGTGTTATGTGGTTGCTCTACTTGTTGTACATTGCACTTTATTTTGAAAAATATTTTTATCTATAACTTCAAGCTAAATATATAATAAAAATAATTTAAATATTTTAGATAAAATAAATTTGTGCTAAGCTCGTTTAAATTTTCAAATATTTAATTTTATAACTATGTCTCAATTTTTACATCTAAATAATACAACCTATTATGCATTTTTATGAACTTAGTACAATTTTATGAAGCAATAAAAATAAATAAATACTCCTAAATTATGATTGAATAAAGCATCATTGCTTGAATTTGTATTAATTACATTTAATACTGGTGGAGTATTTTCCTCCAAACGAAACTTAGTACTCCAATAAAGAATTTGAAAAAAAAAAAAGTGAGGAACATCATATTAATAATAATAATTTTATAAAAAAATAAATTATTAATTAGGATATAATTTAGAAACTCAAATATGTTTTACCAAATTTAATTTGCTAACAAATGCAGTAGAGATGAAAATTAAAAGCAATTTTGAACATTTCATTTGTAATAATGTGGCCGCCTCCATTTTTAGGCCGCTCTGATTCCATTGGAGGCCCTGTACCCTCTGTACATTTGAGTCGGTGAAGTCAGAATCAGGGAGAGTACCATCTAGTACTCTTACCAACAATAAAATTAGTCCAATTGAATTTTATTTTATAAAATTTTAATTTTAGAGATATATAATAAATATTTACATATGTCAAATATGAAAATATAACATTTCATATCTATCTATTTATCTAATCTTGCAGCAAAACAAACATATGTGACGGTCTCTGCATTCAGCATTCCTATTTATCATTTTTCACAAATTTTCATACTTGTCTTTTAAATTTTATTTTATTTTATTATAATTTGATTGGGCGAAATTATTAAATAATTATAAAATCATCTTTATACGTGGTCTACAACAAAATAATATATTAAATTTTAAATGCATAAATCTAACATTATCTATCACAAAACAATAATATATATATATATTTATATATATATATATATATATATAATATATCTTAAAGCATAAAATTTTTTTGTAAAATGCTTGACTTGACATCTTCTGGTTTAAAATTCCTCTTTTTGTCTTTCTTACAATTTTCACAAATTTTCTAGACTTTTAATTTATTTTTGACAAAAAAACTGTAATTATTTGTCAATTAAAAATAATATAAGTTACATTATTATCACTAATAATTTATTTTAAAAAAATCAAATTCTAAATCACTAATAATTATTTGTGTCTTCTGAAAATATCATCCAAAAATCTAAAAATATTTTCTATTTTTTACAAATTTATAAGTTGTAGCTAACTATTTATATAGCTCTAGTGTTCTCTATCTTTCGAACATCAAACCAATCAGTTTAATTCAACGATTGTTTTTTATTTTTTAGTTTCTTTGTTTATCTTTTTATCTTGATATATTTATATTTCTTTATATTCAATTAAATTTTGCTATTTTTATTTTTCAAATTATGAACTACAGAATAATTTTTTCTTCATCAAAGGCAACATTTTCTCTTTTTTTTTTACTATATAATTCTTTCATTCTCTTCCATATCTTCGTTTATAATTCACTCTTTCTATTTCTATTGGTTAATTTATTTTTTATTTGATTTTTCATTGATATCATTATTAAATGA